TTTCTTCCTTACCCCTGCCCCCTCTTTAATTCTCTTTACCATTTAAACATTTTCTTATTTCCCAACATTAATTTCTTAATATGGCCCAGGTATACGTCAAACTCAATCACTTTTGTGATCCCAACATTTACAAAAACAACTGGCACAGAAACAATTCTCGGTGTTTGTCAAAACTATGGTCAGAAACTATGTGGAATCTTGTTTTTGAAAACTGTTGCCTTTAGGAAGATAACTGGGAGCAAATTTCTTCCTTGAAGAGCTTAACTGAAGTCATAGATGCTGAGTCAAGTATTCTAAGTTCATACAATTCAATTTATTAGGATTAAATTTGTTATTGTACCTTTGTTTTTGCTTGCAGTTGCCACCTCTATACTTAATATCAACTTCCCTTCATACAGTCTGTCTCACATGACAATGAGAAAAACTGGACCCTTAAGAAATCCAGTTTCTTGCAAAGTCATACAGCAAAGTGGGACAGCCGAGCAGAGGTCTGGCTCCCTGGGACCCACTAGTGTTCTTTCTAGTAATTCAGAGTACTATGAAAGAAAAACCAGAATAACTTTTCAAAGGTAGTTTAAAGCTCTTTGACTAAAATGTTTTTCATTAGTACTTGCAGAGACTACTATACCATGGAAAAAGTTGCCATCTAATAAGCCAAACAAGGCACATTAATAAATTCAGTTTTAGAAATATTGAGCCCCTATTGAGAACTGTGTTTTCTCTCTTAATGATAAAAGAAATAAAATGCAAAGACACATTCATTCAGACTTATTAGCAGTCAATATTAAAAGAATAAGATATTGCACTGACCATAATCTGTGTTTTCTGGTTCCCAACAGTTTGATGGCCAAAAGTAAGGTGTCTGTGGGAAGAAAAAGGGGATAAGGCGAGTTAGACACGTGCAAATTAGGCAGTTCTGCTTCATGAACTGTTTATCTTCAATTATTGTCTTCAGCAGTTTGCTAGCAATATACATTTTGTAGTCCAGAACAAATTACCATAGAGACATTATAAGGTTTTCATCTACAATTACTTTGCTAGCCAGTTACTCAGCCTCCAATAATTTTGCTGACCAATTACCAGCAGATATTTAAAATGTCAGACATTTGGTACAACTTCATACCAGTGAGCATAAAAGGAAAACATTTAATTGCATTTTTCAAATAAAAATGTCAGCCATAGAGTTGAAAAGGGGAGTAATGTGGAGCAAGCCTCAAGATGAAATATGTTCAGATTCAATACATCGTTTTCTACACATCATGCTGTTTCAGTACAGTCTTTGATAGATTTAAACAGCTCAATGACAAAAATCTTTGCAAATTGAGCAATCATTTGCTGCCTCCATTAAGTACACAGTGCAGCTTCCAGAATTATCCAGCCAGACTAACTTTTTACCTTTAGTTTAAATTGTTTTCTTGGTGCGTGTCTGCAGTATATAATGCTTAAGTTCTTTGTGTGGAGCCTGCACAGGCACGTGAACACAACATACCCAAACTCTTTCTTTATCCCTTTCCCTTTCCTCCCTATTAAAAAAAAATCTTTTTATTTATTTATTTATTTGGTACGGCGTCTCGCTACACAGCTCGGATGCACAGTGATCCTCCTGTCTCAGCCTCCCCACTGCTAGCTAGCATTACAGGCCTGTACCACCATGCCTGGTTTTGGTGAGTGACATGGCACGCAGTACTGGGGGGCGAACCTGGCTCCTTCCATTTGCCAGGCAGGCCCTTAGACCACTGAGCTATCTCCCCACACCCTCCCCCTTTTTCCCTCTATCTCTTTATCCCCTTCCCATTTGAGAAAGATCCATCTCCCTACTTCCTATTATCTTTTAGTTTGTTCTTTATAAGAAAAATCATGTTATCTTTAAGCCTGGCTTTATTTCACTTTACATTATAGTCTCAAGGTTTTTAAAACACTCTTTCATATTTATTTCTTGCCCTAAAGTTGAAGACTGAACACAGCGCTGCTACCATCACAGCTGATTGGTGTGGCTAACAACAGGAAGAATTCTGATGCTGTAGAATTCTAAGAACTAAGTATGACGACACCACCTGAACAAGAAAAGCCTATTATTCTCATAAAGATTTTTTATATTTTCCAAAGGGATGTTTCTAGTCCTACCAACTGGACCTGCCTGACTCCAGGCAGTGGGAAAGCACGAAGACCACCTGCCTTGGTACTTACCAATCCTACGCCCAAAACGTGCCTAACTCCAAGACTCAGTGGAACAATGGGTGCAGACATTAGCGTGGGATTTCTTTTACTCGTTAATTAAATATACGTGCAGTGAGCATATCTGAAGTAATGTCTAGTTACCCGATAATTCTTTTTTCTAGAAAGGTGATTCTCACGGAAGGGAAATGGACAGTTGGGAAGAACTGCCTGAATCTTGGGGAGAACAAGTCTTTATCTAAGCTCCAATCCTTCTTGGAAATTAGTGAAGTCTAATAACAAAGAATGCTATTAGTTCTAGTTTTGTGCACACAGAAACAAAATCACAGCAGGAATTTTAGAAGAAAAAAAGAATAAATCACTAAGGAAGATATTAAGACTTATATAGACCATGCTCATCACACCAATCCCACTTGAGTCCGTGGGAGATATAGCTTTGAAGATTTATTTCATAGAAATAAAATTGGGTCAGGATTATAGGAAAGCCCAAGGGAGACAAAGTAACTAAAAGCTCACTTTCATGTGAGGCACTGGCTTTGAGCTACTTCTAGAGTGCATTAATCTTTTTTCATTGCTTCTTTATTTTGTATGTGTACCTGTTTATCTGACTTTAAAATACCTATTTCAGTCAGACGGGTTGGACATATACTTTTCCCTTCAAAATGATTAGAAATTCTCTCAGCTGTGTTCTTGGAACTCATCTTTATTTTTCACTATTTGCTTTAATAAAAATTTCATGGTTGTAAAAACAAAGGATGAAAAATTCTGTCATGTGATATTATGTACAAATGCCATAAGATCTACATTTTTTATCACTATTGAAAGATTTTTCCCTCTGAGGAAAATGTTTTTGACTTAAAGTAATATTTACTAAAAGAGAAAACAAACGTTTACATTTGTCTAAAATTAAAGATATACGTTTGACTAAAATTAGAGACCCTTTTACTTTTGTCTTTGTCTAAAATTAAAGACATGCAACAGTGTCTCTGTTTGCCAACGCTGGCCTCCTTAGTTATCATAAAAATTATCAGAAACTCTCCAGCCATTGCTCACTGACCTTTGTCTGGCAAACATATTAACAGGAAGAGTCATGAAATTCCCTGCCTGGGGATCCTGTGCAACCTCAATTCCAATTAGCAAAGGGTGACTGACAATAGCAGGTTTACAGTGAATGCAAAAATCAAGGGATTAAATCATCTACTAAACATTTGAGATCATTTTATTGTGGGATATCAATGAAACAAATAATCCATTACACAACTTGGCTCTCAAACTCCTGCCCGGATAGCTCTTGAGATTCTGAGTGATAGCTGTACTCTCCATCACTTGGCAGAAGAACTGTAAATAGGACATGGTAAGTTTCTTGTTTTAATTCATAATTTTAAAAATCCTTCTGAGGAGTTGGGACTTGAGTTCATCATAATGAAGGCCTTCCTGCTGCCTTGGGAAAACATAAAGATGGAAGCAAACACCTTGAACAATAACATATCTCCTATTATTAAAGCTGCTCAAATATAGATTGATGAGTCTTGGTAGGCACGATAGTAGAAATTCAATTAACCTTGACTCTTCTGTTTTTGATTTTTTAAAACCAACTTTGATTTTGGAATGCTAATAGATTTACAAATATATCATATTCAGATGCTATTGTGAATGTTAATGGATTGTGAAATTGTGCAATATTAAACATACAATATTAATGTGCTTAACATACATATAATATATATTATATGTCATATATAAGTGCATTAAACTTGGAAATCTTCTGCCTATACCTTATAGTTATTTAATTCATAGATCATTTGTACCCATTGCCTTGATTTGTACTAATGTTCTTTAGAATATCTTCTTTCTCCTCACTGCACAGTTGGCCATTCCTAGTTTTGCTCACCCTTGACTCATGAGCCTGATCAAGGCATTTAAACCATGTCTACCCACAATTTTAGTCTGAGGATGACAACAGCAAATTTAAAGCTTTCTTAGTTTTGCTGACTGAAGTCATCCTCATTTAGACAAGGCCAGGCCTATCGATTACAGTAGAACGCTTTCCCTGTAGATTCTTTTACATATGGATGGTCTCACTAAAAATATTAATTGTAAAGACAAATACTAATTACAATACTAATACTAATTACAAACTAATACTAATGCTAATACTAATTACAAACTAATACTATTACAAACTAATACTAACTATAATACTAATACTAATTACAATACTAATTACAATT